CGAGTCATTCATAGCTGCTTTGATAAAATGTCCGCTCAATTCTAAGCGAGTTTTCCAACAAAATTATAGCAGTTTTTACAAAATTACCGACTATCACCATTGAGGAGCTCTTTTATCAGTTGACTAACGGCTGCTCTATTTCAGTCGTCTATCCACATTGAGATATGTTGACTGATGTGTCTACCATTGTTTGGATTAGCTCAAGGACTGCGACAGGCGCACACCTTACTCTTTGACAGTGCTTTCCGCGCAGGATCTTCTACTTAGTTCATTGTTTGTCTTATATTCTACTTAAAGGCATTCGCCTAAATTTTCTTTCATCTTTTGTTCTACGCCGCGGCCATGATTACAGATATTATTCATTTGTTCAAGTGCTCTAAGGCGTGTTACAAAAGCAGTGAGTATAAATCAAAGACAAAACGATATTTATCACAAGAGCCGAAATCTAAAGACAATGAATTTTTATCCGGTTTAGTAGCGATCTGAAGTATGATTTTATGATCTTATATATAAAGCTGAATGTCTGTTTGTATGTCTGTCTGTCTGTGCCTACAATACCGCTCACATTTTTTGAAAAATAGACGCGAATGTATGGACATGTATGGACATGTGTATGGACATGTCCATACATCAGCGTCGCGTGGCCATATCTCTCTTCAGAGTGGACGAATTCTGAATCCGAAGCGACCATTCGATTCAGCTCGGCGCGGAGAATCTTCTGATGTATTGGAAGTGGGGGTAAGATGTCTTTGATATTCCGTTTCCAGTTTTTTCAATTTGTTCTGCGGAGGTCCTTTCGCGAATATGTGAAGCAACGCCTACTCAACATAGAAGACTTTACTGAGTACTATTCGATAATACTGTTTTTGTAGATTATTTTGCGCTAAAAAATAGGCTTAGACTTCTTTCTAAAGGAGATATAAGCGTTGGTGAATTTTGGAAAAATCAAGCGTTTCTAAATTCTACTCGCCAGAACTTCCTTCGGAATAAGTATATTTTGAATCCGAAAGCAGCGCCTTGCTTAGCTCATCAAGGCGAATCTATACAGCATGTCCTTGATATTTCGATTTCAGTATTCTTGAATCTTTCTGAGGACGTCTTTTCGCGAAGGTGTAAAGCAGCGAGCATTGTCCCGGGTACATTCCAGCAAGGATCTTTCGATAGCACTTTTTCGATTATGATGTGCTAAATAGTAGCCGCAGGTTCCTTTTCAAAGGAAACAGAACGGCTGGTGAATTGTGGAAAAATCTTGTCGTCCCAAATTCTACTCGCCATAGCCGCAGGATACGAAGCTATCTTGCTGCAGATGTGAGTTTCAATCAGCAGGTCGGATAACCTCTATGAGCAAGTTTTCCGATATGTTCGGGTTATTCCATTTTTTCTCGTTTTACGCTCCAGAAGCTCGCCGATGGATTTTGGTCAAAATGTTGATGCTCCTGAATTGTAAGGAAACTTCGCTTATAGAGGTTTTCGAACACACTTTTTACGAAAATCGTGGTCTTTGAGGATTACAGGGCCTTTTTGGAGAGATACGGTGAGGTGACTGTAACTTCATCACGAAAGTGCGTAACTTTGGCCGCACTTCTCGCGTATCTGTCAGAAACCTTGCCTGCTTGCTTTTTTCAGTCAAAGTTAGTAGGAACTGTGCTATCGAATGGTGCATTACTCAGGCTCCAGTCTGTTAAATTCGCCGAGTTACGAGCCTACGAAAACACGTCCTCTCGAATTTTGCCCAAAATGTAAAAATCGCATATTTCGTCGAAACTTCCCCGTGAGCGCTTGTACAACGCGCTGATCAAATCCTTCCACAATTGTAATGGATCTTATTGTGTTGGATTTGGTGCTTTGAGCTCTAGCCACGAAATAGCTTTGATATTCAATTGAGCAGCTGAAGCAGACGCAAGCACCATATTCAGTACAGTGGGAGTCATTCATAATATCTGCAACGAGCGTCATACAAGCGCTCACGGAGGATTTTCGACGAGATATGCGATCTTTACATTTGGGCAAAATTCATGAGGACGTGTTTTCGTAGGCTCGTCACTCGGTGAATTTCACAGACAGGAGCCTGAGTAATGCACCATTCGATAGCACAGTTCCTAGTAACTTTGACTGAGAAAAGCAAGCAGGCAAGGTTCCTGACAGATACGCGAGAAGTGCGGCCAAAGTCATGCACTTTCGTGATGAAGTTACAGTCACCTCACCGTATCTCTCCAAAAAGACCCTGTAATCCTCAAAGACCACGATTTTCGTAAAGAACGTGTTCGAAAACCTCTATAAGCGAAGTTTCCTTACAATTCAGGAGCATCAAGTGCTATCGAAAGATCTTTGCTGGAATGTACTCGGGACAATGCTCGCTGCTTTACACCTTCGCGAAAAGACGTCCTCAGAAAGATTCAAGAATACTAAAATCGAAATATCAAGGACATGCTGTATATAGAAAGATTCGCCTTGATGAGCTGAGCAAGGCACTGCTTTCGGATTCAAAATATACTTATTCCGAAGGAAGTTCTGGCGAGTAGAATTTAGAAACGCTTGATTTTTCCAAAATTCACCAACGCTTATATCTCCTTTGGAAAGAAGTCTGAGCCTATTTTTTAGCGCAAAATAAACTACAAAAACAGTATTATCGAATAGTATTCAATAAGGTCTTCTATGTTGAGTAGGCGTTGCTTCATATTCGCGAAAGGACCTCCTCAGAACAAATTGAAAAAACTGGAAACGGAATATCAAAGACATCGTACCCCCCTTCCAATATATCAGAAGATTCTCCGCGCCGAGCTGAATCGAATGGTGGCTTTGGATTCAGAATTCGTCCACTCTGAAGAGAGATTTGGCCACGCGACGCTGATGTATGGACATGTCCATACATGTATGGATATGTACGGACATGTACGGACATGTCCATACATGTCCATACATTCGCGTCTATTTTTCAAAAAATGTGAGCGGTACTGTATGTTCCGAATAGAAAATTCCATTTCTGAACCGATCACATTATGCTTCATATCTGATGAAAAACATAACATACTAGCTGGCTTACCCGGCTCCTCCCGGCCCTGTCAAAACGCCATGATAAAGCTCCCATCCCTATCCTGTACACTCTTTCCCTGTGCCCACTTTCACATATAGGGCTTATCAAATTGAGTGTCGTTTGCACCAGCATCTCCATCTTCGCGCTGGACTCTGCGTCTCTTCCGCGGGGCTGCTCTCTAAGCACATTCCCAGGGCAAGCGTGGGAAAGGCGGAGTTTCAAGTGATTAGGGAACATGTGCCGCAGAAGAAACGCAGAGTCCAGTGCGAAGATAGAGATGCTGGTGCAAACGACTCTCGATTTGATAAGCCCTGTACCAACTCCAACTCCCTATTCCCACTGTGTTAGTCATCAGCATGCGCACTTGTCCCTGTGCGAATTTCCAGCCCCGCAGCTCAAAATTTGCAAAAAACGATAAAATTGATAAAAGTAATGGACGATTCTAGAAACTAAAATTGTATTCGTAATCAGCATGCTCGATTACCTCCCCGTGCCAACTTCCAGCCCCGTAGATGACGAAAAGTAGCCTATGACCTTCGCCCGGCCCCGAAGTGTATGTGTGCTAAGTTTGGTCCGGATCGGTCCAGAAATAAAAATTTCTATTCGGAACATACGTACATACAGACAGACATACATACAGACAGACAGACAGACAGACAGACAAACAGACATTCAGCTTTATATACAGGGTGTCCCAAAAGTAAGTACACACTTATCAATTGTCAATACCTCTATTCCCATTGTATCTTTTTCTTCCATTTAAGTACCATTCTGTAGAGGAGGCTTCAACTTAGATTTGAAGTATCGAGCGAATTACCGATCATTCTTCATTACTGTAGGATTACGGTACGAACTTCGACAGGGATTTTAGCCCATTGGAGGCCATATTCTGCCTCGGAACAAGACCAAACAAGCCAAAAAATTCCTATACTACGGCAGTGGGAGCCGCTGATTGAATTTGAAATTTTCGCTTTACTGTGATGCTTCTTTCTCAAGTTATCCCGGGTGAACCGTAATAACTGAATTCCCAGTACTTGTCAGAAATGTGATTACACCGTTAAAAAAGCTGAAAACACTCGTAAAAGTTGTGTTGTGAAATCAGCGTGTGCCCCTAGTAGACATTTTCAGATTTTTTGCAGAAAGTTTTGTCAGATGGCATATTTCACAATGATGTCACATGCTGGAAGTTCTTACCGTAATCCTACAGTAACGAAGAGCGATCGGTATTTCGATCGATACTGTAAATCTAAGTTGAAGCCTCCTCTACAGAATGGTACTTGAATGGCAAAGAAAGACCCATTGGGAAGAGGATGTTGACGATTGAAAAGTGTGTACTTACTTTTGGGAGACCCTGTATAAGATGGGACTCGAACTTGCAGCGGTAGTGAATATATTGATCTCCAACTTACCGTTCCGTGGCTACACAGCTTCCGAACAGCAAGCAAATAAACTCAGAAGCACAGTAATCAAACAGCTTTTAATCCAACTCAGTCCATCATCACCGCATACAAGGCCTAGAAGCATTTCGTTTCATTTTCTTTGATATGAACTATTGATAGGTACTGATGCTTGCAATTGTTTCAGTTTACCTTTGTCTTGTAAGTAAGAATTCTTTGGGAAGGCTTCAGTAAAAGTTAGCAGTTTGCGTTTTACGGTAAAAACAGTGCAAGAAAGTTACAACCATTTCTGAAGATCCGCCTGATTTGAGCTTGCTCCAGGTTTTAAAATTTCCTGTGTGTTTGCTAAATCGACCACCAGCATTTCAAAATATGCATAAAGCGTTTGCATGGGTAATTTCATTCTAGCATAGCTCAAAGAATAAGCCCCCACTGTTTGCGTATCTCATCGCGCGTATTTCTAAAATGATCTTGCAGCATTATGAATGTGTTGACGTGATTCTTCAAAAGATAAGATTCTATCTAAGCCTTGAATAAGCTGAGATTAGCTGTATTTCTCATTCGTACTACTTTGCCTTCGTATAGTGGCGCTGCTCGAACTGATTAGTGGGTGGACACTTTATGGTCATCTCAGCTTGCTCTGCATAATGTACATGTGACTTTCAGATACTGTTGAATGGGTAAGCCTAAAGAAGATGAACCAGTGTCATTCACGTGAGGGACTTTGAAGTGTGGAAGTAAGGCCAAAGTTTGGCACTGATTACAGAGACACAAACGCCGAAACAGCCGCCGGAAACAACAAAGCGACCGGGTCGGCAATGATGGACTTAATTACCGGATTACAAAAAAAGCAAGAGGCTGAAAGGGAGGCTGGTGGTGGTAGCTCGGTAAGTTACAGTACCTCCGATAGTTCGTCAATAAAGTCAACGAACTCCACTGGTGTTCACCGTAATCTGCGTCGCATCGAAGTGCCCAATTCGGAATCCAAAAGCGTCACTGGACGAGAGAAAACTCGTGATAGAAAGAAATATTCGTTTCTATACGGTGGATGCATGGTGAATGGCCAGTTTTTGCTTAGGGGAGGTTATCCAGTGTGCTTATTTCTCTTGCACGGTAAGCTACAGGCAGGAATCTAAAATCTGAATGGCTGACGTATCCAAAGTGGAACTCTGTAAATCACGAGATACGCCTCACCGAGATGAGTCGAACGGTCATTTTGGATTCCAAATTCGTTCACTCTGAACCAAGTTATAGCGATGCGACGCAGACTTCGGTGAACTCCAGTGAATTCGATGAAAATTGACAGATTACGAGCGATTATGTATGACCGAGATTAACTGGATAATAGCTACTCGGAAAAAAGGAAGTGATAAGGTGTTATACTCCCCTTAGACGTCCGCATCAACATCTACAAGTAGAAAGAAGAAAAAGAAGAAGAAGAAGACTAAGTACAAGAGAAAGAGAAGAAAGGATCGTTACGAATCTCAGAATTACCTTTTGCGGATAGAAGGAGTTCTTTGCTGTGCATCTTTAGGTGATGGTTGCAAGATGAAAAATATCCAATCCTGAGCTGCACACTTTCAGTGGTCGCATTTATATTCGTTGTGGCGTTGTTTATAGTATTCCTTATTTGTGGAATATGGAGTAAATTCGACTTCTCAGCCACTACAGAATCAGTCAAAGAATAGGAATCTGTAACGATTTAGCCGTCTCATAAGACGTTTTTTGTATAACGTTCGCAGTTCCTAATAAAAGTTTGAAAGGGTGTCTGATCATTGAAAAAACGGTGTGCACTTATAATTTGGGGATGTGGCCCTTCCGCGCAAGCGTAATGACGCCAGAGATTTTCCATCCAACCAACGCCGCACGCGTAGCCCCCTAGGCGGCTTTTGCCTGAAGGGCCGGGCATACTTCACGCGATTTCAGTCGCGACGCGATTTGGCAATATTTTAACTGTCCATAACTCACTGTAAGCACATTTTAGATGCACAGAAGTTAGGGTTTTATCAAACCACATGAGTTATACGCACTATGCATGTGCAGTTTGCTTGTGTTGGATCTGAAGACTTCTGGCGAATTGCCAAATCGCGTCGCGAGTGAAATTGCGTGAAGTATGCCCGGCCCTTAACTGACAAGCAAACTCATAATAGATGGTGGGACTGCCGTGCAAGGCCGTCTTCCACGAATGAAATCGCAAGGGGATTCTCGAAACTCTTTGCACATTTTGGAAAAAAGAGGAGCACTGTACCAGACTTCGAGTTTTCGCACAATATCCTACTCTTCTAAGCTTTCAGGGCCAACTCCAGGAATGTCTTTTTCGTCAAACGATGCTGGAAAGGCTAGTTCGGGGAAGTGCTCCACTCGAGCAAACTCTACCTACTCTCGAGAGCTGCATAGTGAGAACGAGCACAAAATCCTATTCATAAAGCTAACCGGCGTACGGATTAGGTTTCACATTGATTTCTCCAGCATTGTGTTATTTCGCTTGTTTTTTCTTTGGTTTGCTCTCGGTAAGCAATGCAGCAAAATTATTTTTGGCTCAGTGTATATGCGGAGTGAGATATTTATTCAAGGCCTACTGCCAAATGCTCTACCGTTGTGGAGTTAGCTACATTATTCACTTGGAATTTTGCCGTTCACCCGTGAACAATAATATAACATCAATTTTGTCATATTTGCTAATCATTCAGACGATCGATAAAGGGTTTAGGGCACATCCACGGGCACGAACCCCGCCCTTAATGAAAAGTGCTGCGGAAGTTCCGTTTGCAGTCAGTATAGTGGCAAGTTCTGCGCAAGTTCCTATTTTGGACTCAATTTCCATTTTAGAAAACTCCTGCGGAACAACTATAAATATTTCTTATCCTGCGGAAGTTCTGTGCTTTTTGTCTAAGCAGAGAAAGAAACGGAGGGCTTGCTAAACAAAGAATTTTCAGATCATCTAAATTTTTTTTGCAGTTTTCATCCTTCATCCTTCCAGTTCTCTTATCCTTGTTCCAATCTAACAGGCGCGTCATTAACTAGCCATTGCGCTCTCATTTTACTAAATCTTATACCTTGTGCGGTTGCGTTACAGTTTTTCAATTAGTTTAAATCTTTTATTGCTTTTTTTGTACCTTTTATTCCATGTTATCTAATAACTGAGAAATATTTGGATTTTCTTGAATGTCTGATGGAAGTCTAAGCGAGAGCTTCAAGAATATATCTAACATATTAGCACAGCAAGCAGATAGCATTTATCCTAACAACCTATTGTCCCCCACGAAGATGATTGTTAGTATCAGTAACATTTTTTTAAATTTTATTCCTGCGTTCCTTTGAATTTTTCGAATGACTGTGACCAGATGGCCATTGCATCCCATAAATTTTGGATGTGTAGATATTACCGGCTTCGACATCTTTAAGAATAGCCATAAATTTCCATTTTACGCTCTCCATGTTCGCTAGCGTCTAATGTGCGCTATTCGTCATATTCTCAAATCATTGTTGGGTAAGCAACCATAAAATGTCTGAAAAGTTTCGGGCATAATTTCGATATTTCCTCTTCATCCTTCGTTTATAAGGCGAATGAATTCCGAATTTCCCCCTCATCAAACCGCTTGAAATGTCGCATGCCTTGTTCAGCCTTTTTGAACATTCTTCAGTCGCTATTGTTACTTTTTGATATCTCTTTGGACGGTAATAGTGATGTCCTTTTTTTGGGGACATTGAATCACACATAAAGAGCTTAAGACCGGAGTGGATACGCATAAGAAAGCGCAGGGAAGGAGCTGTGACTTAATTTTAGCTCTTATTTATTCATGATCAATGCTAGGAAAAAGATTCAAAATTAGTTCTGTGCCAATCAAAGAGCGCAGATTTTTCAATATTCGATAGATTATGCTTTTCTTAATTGTAAGTAATTCTCCTAGTTGAAATCAACAATTTCACATTGGGTTAGGAGCATCTATACCCCATTGTTTCAGAAGAGCTTTGTTGAAATTTGCTGTTCATTTTTCTTGTCGTACGCCCTTGACAATTTTTAACATTTAGTTCAGTTTATATATTTATTTTTTATGGTGATCGCGAAATTTTTAAAGTAGCCTACATGCGTCATAAACTCATGCAAGTGAATATTACCTTCTATTTTTATAGAAAATTGCAAACTTTGTAGTGGTGCATTGCTGCCGCTACTCTCTTTTTGAAGCATCTTGAATATTGTTCGAAGTGCATCTTCAGAACTGTTTAGAGGCTCCCCTTCATTCAAAAAAAATCTGTTGCATTTCCTTCTCCCCTCCGTCCCGTAGAAACTGCAATATGCAGAATCATCTATTAACCATAGAGCTGCACAGCAATCTCTCAAACAAAGAAGTATTGTAATAAAATTTCTTGCATTGCACGATACATTCGTTAGGTGTTTGAAATGTACCTTGTATTTCGTAGCAAAAGTACTAAATAAGCAGTAAATCTGCGACGTATTTTTTTAAGGACGTGGTCTTTTTCTGCTCTCTAGAGCGGTCTGCATTGCAGTAATGTCGTTCAGAATTTCATGAGACAAACTTGATTAGATTAGTTAATTAGCTAAAAAATTATGCTAGAAGCGTCAAGACCCGGTACGGTGTGACTGCAAAATCTTATCCTAAATGTGCTGTAATACTATGTTCGAAAAATCTATATCACTTGACTGTATAGAATATTTGTGTACCTTTCAAGTCCCATTGATTCTACACAACTTACCCTATTTTCACGAGTGCAAGACGCACCTTTCCCAATTTTTTAAACGAGTCGCTTAGCTGCCTCGTTACGTTTCAGGAAACGTAACCTATACCGCACGATACTATTAGGCAATATACTTTTGGTTGCGAGATCCTTTGGCATGTTTGGGCTGTTCGAATATAGAAAAAAACAGGCGCGTCCTGTACGCTTGAAAATAGGGTAATAGGTAATACGGTAAAAAATACTAGATTCCTGATATCCAATAGGTAAATTCTATATTCTAAACATACATTTATCCCGCCTCCCCCTCCTTCCCTTTGTCCTTTCCGCCTTCTTTACAAGAACATTCCTCATCGAACATCCACCTTTTCCTATAGCCCCGTCCCTAAATCGTTCTTGAGAAATTGCTGGTTGTTGCTACTTCTCAAACTTGTAATTGTGTTATTCTCAAAAATACCACCCCGAAACCGATCCTTCCATTTAGTCCTTCTTGTCATCGGATTGGTTTTAGATTTCTATAAGATCACTTCTTACACTATTTTTAGTAATGTGATCTCGTCGGGATTCATCTGCGAATCTCGCTTATGCATTTGTAATGCGAATCCGCACCTTACATTGAGTTTTTTTCCAATTTTTGAAAGCATAAGGATTTCACAAAACTGATGGAGCTCCACCATTACACAGTTTACATATATCTACTCCGCACTTTATATAACTCCTTGGCTCTGACATGAAAGCAAGATTAGGCTAGAAATTCATGGAAAAATCAGACTTTGAAGGGCATCATATTCTGCCCTTTCGTTTAAAGAGCATCTCAGACTTTTCGAGTATAGTGGAGTGGTTCTACCTACACATCTACCTTTTGCTGAGATTGTAGTTAGTTCGTATAATGTTCACCATCAATGGTTTTTACATTTATTTTTCCTGACAAGCGGACTCAAGTATTATCTGAAATGTAATAGTTGTGTAAATTGGATACATCAGTCTGAAGTTTTGCCTTTAGTTGAGGCATGTTGTGGTCTTGTTCTTCTCGAGTAGTTCTAGCGTCCAAAAGGTTCAAAAAGCTTTGAAGCTGGTTTTGCGCTAATATGGTACATTGTACTCTCGCGGCCTTTGAGAATTAAGATTGGTGGCTATCATTCCTTGCGATTCTTGCACCTAGCAGCATAAAAGTTCCTTAACGTAGAGCATTTATTCACTCTCATTTCACATACAGGGGATTTCAATCTGAGTGTTACGGTCGTCGCGGCTCGGTTACTCCCGAACCGCCTCGCTTGGATCTCTGCCCTCAGCGGATACGGTGTTTTTCGACAAAGGCAGTGGCTCGGAGAAATTGCGACTGCGAGCTTTTCACAGGCCTTTTTGATCCGCTAAGCCAAGGCTGTAGAAAAGTTCGGAAAGTGCTTTTTATGACATTTTCCGGTTTTAGAGATAGCTGGTGGGGATGGGCGAGGGATCCCCGCCAACATCGCAATTGGCTGCCTGAGCCGATCAGCCAAATGCCGCCAAAATGGGTGGAGTTACAGTATCTTGCAGCTAGTCGCTGTTTTTGGCGGGAATCCCTCGCCCAGCCCCCTCAGCAATTTTCAAGGCCGCAAAACGCCGGAAAAGCACTTTTATGACTTTCCAAGCACAGTCCCGAACTCAGAGGATCCAGAAAGTCCATGTTGATGCAAAAAAGCTCGCATTCCCAAATTTTCCGAGCCACCCTTGAAGGCAGTAGATCGGCAGAATGAGACCCGTGACAAAACAAGGTCACAGGGGAGGATCCCCCATATGGAACCTATCGGCCGAAGTCCGATCCTTCTCTGCCACTTCTAACTCCCGAAATTTCAACGCGGAAGCAGCGCTCATCTCCTGTATTCTCTGGCCCCACCCACCATGAGATGGGATGGGCCAGAGAATACAGGAGATGAGCGCTGGTTCCACGTTGAAATTTCGGGGGTTAGAAGTGCCAGAGAAAGATAGGACTTTGGCCGATAGGTTTTATATGGAGGCTCCTACCCTGTGACCTTGTTTTGTCACGGGTCTCATTCTGCCGATCTGCTGCCTTTAAGGTGTGACTAGGCATCGAGTAATGATCTTGGGAAATCGCCTGAGACACGTTTGCGAGCGCGTCGAGTAGCCCAAGCGAGGCGGCTCGCAAGGACCCGAGCCGCGCCCACCGTGACACTCGAATTGGACTCCTCTGTACAAGATGCACGTTTTCACTTTTTCAAGCAAGCAGCTCGGCCACACTACTGCATTTCGCAAAATGTTCGCTGTTCCAATTTTTTAAAGTAATAGCAGCATGGTAAGGGCCCTTTGGTTGCGAAAAATCTATTGTGCCAAGGCTAGTCGAGTTTAGAATAAAAACAGGCACGTCTTGTACTTGTAAGAGTGGGTTACATCACATAAAAGTTTTGATAGCATACTGTAGCGGCGCTTTTACGGTCTTTTCCAGAAACTCCATCCGTAGCATGTCATCGCCGTAATTAAGAAATACGCTAGATGACTAATAAATCGCTAAAATCAAGCTGTAATTAATCGCGGAGGAGATGAGGCTTATGAAACTCGTTGGTATTCTTAGTGGTCGGTCATCTCACGGTCGTAAATCAAGCTCATTCCGACCAACTTTTATGTCAGTTAATTAGTTTATGACATGGCCCCTTCAGGTCCTCCAAGCATATCTGCCTAAACAGCAGCATAGAAAACCAAAATAAGAAACAATAACTGGGTCCTTTGGTCAAACACTCGGGGCAGCTCCTTTCGTTCCACTAGTCGCTACTTCTCAAACTTTCAGTCCTACTGCTGGCGGATTACCTACCAGACTAACTACCTTAAGCCCTTTTTCATTGGTACTAGGTTTTTAAGAAAAGTTGTTTCCTTTTTTCAGGGGGGGGGGGGTTTCAAAGGAAAATTCATATGGAAACCATGAATCCAGAAAATTTTGTAGTTAAAGTTTTCAAACTTTTTAGTATACAAAGGCGTGGGAGGAGGCCAGGACTACTGAAGAGCTTACCATTTTCCGTTCTTCAATTTTTTCTGTTTTCAGGGCTTGAAAAAATATAGTGGGTGTAATAAGTGCATATGTCTTTGTACATGCGGGAGCGATTAAGAAGTTCATAGGATTTTAAGGGGCAAAAATCCGATTTTTGCGTCTTAATTTGCTCTTCATTTCGGCTCTAAACTTCTTTGCTTTATCGATTGCATTCCCAAAAAACGACACTTTCTTACAACTCAATATCTTCGGGCACGAAATAGATGAGTTAATTTTGCCCCCGCCCCCTCCCTCCCGCCCCCACATGAAATTTCTGTCGTTCTTACCGAGCCATATAGTGAGATTTTAGATGAACTTTCAAGTTTTCTGTGATGTAAGAGCAGAACCTCTACCTGAATAACATCTCCTCTTAATATATGAAACTTCACCAAAAAACGTTTGGACTTCTCTATACTGCTTCAAGAGCCCATCTTCACCATTGCAAACTGAAGGTCGTCCGTGGGCGGCGTCACAGTTCTGCAGTCCAAATTCACATTAGAATCTTTTTCGCACATCGCATCTCTAGCACCTTGATGTCAGCGGCTCCTTTTTCTGAAACTAAGTATGTGTAGATTTTGCAGATAGCGAACGATGCCATGGCGTCCACTATTTTGGATGTCATTGCCGGCTGCACAACCCGTTCCGATCGTTCCAGGAGTCGATCCACATGTTTGCTATAACGGTGCTGTACCGATGCAGAACTGTATTATTCCTATCGCTATCGTTTCGCCTTTTGCATCGGTTCCAATCAAGAAACCCGAAAAATTCAAAAGAGCGACTGTGCTTGCGAAGGAATTCAAGATGTGAGTTTACTCCATTGTAACCCTTCAGAATCTCGGTGTCGACTATTCTCTTTAAATCTTTACACCTATCATCCATGCCTTAGCACATTTAGCTGTTCTTTCGTGGTCCCAAAGTTGCCTAGTTTCACGCAATGGCAAGTATTTGATCTCCTTTCCACCCCTTCCCCCTTTGACTCCACAGAAAACGTCTCATGAACTGGCTTTTTTCGTTATAGTTGATGTTGATCTACCCCCTTTTCGAATAGTTTTTTTTCTGGAAATTGGTAATCTATGAAGATTCCCAGCTGCTTTTTAATTTCATTTGCGAAAGTAACTTCTTCCTCTGCTTACTTGTCATGTTTTCGAGGTTGATTTATTTCATTTTTTGATCCCGATCCAAGAGAATTTTCCCTTTTTCTGGTTCTCTAAACGGCATCTTACGGTTCCCTATTAATATGCCGTATCTATTGCCAAAATAATTATCGAGCATTTGCTATCTGCTGGAAAAGACAAGAGAAATATAGCGAACGGAGCAAGAAATGAGATAAGGATCTAAAAAAGTCATCGAGAAGAGACTAGTTTTGCTTTGATTTATTCTGTTGTATAAGCTTCTTCTGCCTTTTTTGACGTCTAGTCCATAATCTCAACGTATTTCTGATGTTGAAGCTCATCACATAGGAGACCGCAAGTGATGGTGATTTATCAGGGTTTCTTAGAGAAGAAGTTGATAAAAAACGTAGTCTTAGATTTCAATCCAAAGAGATTCCTCTCTACAGAATGTACTGTACCGTTCATGATTCGACAAATAATTCATCGAATTCGCCACATCTTGGTTTAGAGTGGACGATTCTGAATCCAAGGGCATCGTCCGATTTAGCCTCGATGCGGATCTTCTGCTATTTGAGTACAATAGACTCTTAAAATTCACAGATCTCTTTAGTTTTTTTTGCCTACGATAGGTTACACAGTGTGCTTATTTTATAGCAGGGCAATCTTTATTAATCGAACTGAGTTAAACGGTGCCGTCATTATTGAATATGGAGTTCGTTCACTTTGAACTATTCCAACTGTCCATAACTCACTGTTAGCACATTTTTAATGTACAGAAGATAGGGCATTTTATACATCCACATAAGTGATGCATACTGTGAATATGCAGTTTGCTAGTGTTGGATCTGAAGACTTCTGGCAAATTGCCAGATCGCGTCGCGATGAAATCGCGTGAAGTATGCGCTCTTACGATGCGACGCGGAGTTCTATAAAGTCAAGTTCAGTAACAATTCAAGCGATATATGAGCGGTATTGTATGCTTTTGCGTAATGGTAAGTCGCTACCTCGATCCTCTTGTAAGCCTCATTTATGCTTAGAAGAATCAAGCCTTTCGATTTCTCTTCTGGCTGGCTTGTACAAAGTCCCATTCCCTGGATCTCTCTACTTCCTGCACTTGAAACACTCACTATAGAGCTTTTCTACTCATTCCACTTCTTCTTTGTTGAGGAACTGGAACAATACTCATTATATTAAGGGATGTTGAATCTAATGTATGATACTTAGCTTTCGTTCCGAACTACCGGTTGCTAGCGCATCCACGTTACTAACTATTTTCCATCATTCTTCCCCACTTTCTGACCACTCTTCTCCTGTATCACTGCGGCACGTTTCTGCGTATTTCCTAATAGCTGCTTAGACAAATTGGGATGAGTACGGGTAAATGTACAAAAAATATAATGAAAAATTGCAGAGTAAAGAAACGGAGGGATCAGAATTTTGCGATCTCCGATTTTCTTCCTGATTCACTTCCATAGACATACATATTTCAAAAGTTTTTTGATGGTATTTTACAACTAGTCTAAGCTTGATAACTCGGGGTTGCAAGTTTTCAAAATCTTTGAAAAAATTTCCGACTACTTTGTTTACTTTGTTTGTGTGGCAGCCCAAAATAAACTCCTAAGCCCACTCAAGAGCTCACCTCTTCATTGTTGTAGCTTCTGAGCTTCTTCTTTCTCAATTTTTTTTTGCTTTTTCCTATACTGCTTTTGGCTTAGTTTCTTTTCAAATGCGTTTTTCGATCTTAGAAACTGTGAAGTGCACAGGCTGCTCGTATCGTTTGATGACACTTGAAATTTTCTTTGAAACGTTTGATTGTGCCCTATGTTGCAAGCAGGCAGGATCCATCCCGTTGATTGTGGCTTTGAAGCTAAGCTTTTGTAACTTGAATATAACGTTCTCCAAGCTTCCAGCTACAGTAGCCATTGTTCGGCTCTTCTTCTCATGATTACTCTTCGGCTACGACATTCCTTGCTGCCGTCTGAACTACCTGATTTCATATTTCCGAAGTACATTCTTCTTTCTAATCGCAGCACAAAGGCACTTGCGTTACGTTATCGCGCATAGCCCCAACCTTTTTCCACGCTTCAAAGGGCGATTTCGATGCGCGATAGTGACACGATCGAAGTCTCTTTATGTTGCATCTATGGTACGATCATCAACAGGGCTAGGGTTCGGCAATACTCTTTGGAAAAAATTCGCAGAAATTTCATTCATAGCGGAAATCGTTTTGCGGTTGCATGAAAATTCTCCTTCTAAAATCTGGCATTTTTGTAGATTCGACTGATAATATAGTGCTACTGCGGTCTTCTTAACACTTAAGGGCCGAGCATACTTCACGCGATTTCAGTCGCGCGGCAATATTCCAGCTGTCCATAACTCACTGTAAGCACATTTTATATGTACAGAAGATAGGGCATTTTATCAATCCGCGTAAGATATACACACTATGCATGTGCAGTTTGCTAACGTTGAACCTGAAGACTTCTGGCAAATTGCCAAATCGCGTCGCAACTGAAATCGCGTGAAGTATTCCCGGCCCTTTACGCGTAAAAGTCATCGCTGAGCGCTGATTGTTGAGTTTTGCTCCACATGACCACTTCATACGAACAAAAGCCATTGGCGGCGTAAGAGCACCATATTCGCCAAATCTACTAAACAATAGAACATTCACTTGCCCTTGGCGGCATAGTTTTTAGCACACTCTCATTCTGCAAAATTGCGTTCTTCATTCACTCTGGGAACAAAGTGGACAAAGCTAAGTGCCATGGAGTAGTGGGTTCAAAATGATTGCTCAAATGTGGAATCAACACATTGAGCTTTGGAGAATTCTTTAGAAGATTTCGAAAATTAATCAGTTTTATCAGTTATTTCGGATATTTTCTTACGAGCCAGGAACCGTACATTTGCAGTGCATTTGGGGTATAGTGCGAAAAGAATAAAGACCCCTCCCCATCCCCTTCCATTGTCAAATAATCCCAGGAAGGCCTAAAGTGGAGAAAAAAGTGGGATTCAAAAATTAAGAGGACTCTTAAGCAAAAAACTGGAGCCGAGAAGCATATACAGAAATAGGCGTGGCCGCGTGCGGTCGAGGCGCGTGTAGCGGGAGGAGAGCGATGCCATTCTATTTTTGCCCTCTCTGCCATGCGGCGAAGTTTCTATGTCAATTCGGGAGAATAGTGAACTCAAGGACCTTCAATCATATTTGGGGAAAGGCTAAGGAGATATGAGGAAAGCAGGAGATGGCAGGAGGAGGGGAGTGAAGGGTGTAACCGTGTGCTACTAAAGTTAATAGCAGAACTTTTTATCAAATTAATTTCTCAGATATTTTTTCCAAAATTTGTTTCAACCTACGAATTTCGCACGGGCCATAGCGGGCGCGAAGGCTTGAAGATATTCTTGTTGGGACTATTAGCTAAAAATCTTTATAATATTGTGAAAATCCTATAAAATTAACGTAAGCACAAAAAATTCGAATTTTTCGGTGCGACAGAGAGCGTTTATTGTACTTCTGAAGTGTGATATTCTTAGAAAAGTCTCGATCGCAAAACAGAATCAGGCTTTTTTGCATTGCAACAAAATGTGTGGATATCCTGGCTGTTCTCTCAAATATCTTCCGGATCTCGTCAACACTCTCAAGTGCGGCCACTTAGCCGATGCCAAGCGAGTCGAGCCTGAGCTCGCACCTGAACCGGCTCCAGGAATAGTATCTGTCTCAATATTGTATGTTCAATGTCTTTTTTCCTTTTTATGGACATCCGCATTCGTTTCCCACGTGTGTATTAGGAAGTGGGTGAATGTTGTAATCTGAACGACACAAAAACTTGGACGGCACCATTGACCGATTTTGCAATGTCTAATGTCAAAAGCCATGCCAGTAAAGAACAAAACTTTGGTCACTGAATTTATTCCTAAATTTCTGCTGCGCTTAGCTGAAATGCTAATAATCTCATTGTTAGAAAAAATTCTTCGCAAAGCAAGGAAGAAAAGGTGAGTTATGTCAAATCATATGCAGTATAAATAATGATTTCCACTATATTCATCACTACTATATTCATCACTTGCAAGCCTCAGCGTCAAAATTGTTGGAAAATATGCAAAATTACCCTCAACTTGCCCTTCAAATTTGATGGGAGTTAGGGTAGTAGAAGGAGATTACACAGCTCAATCAGTACCAGTACCTTTAGAATTCTGTTAGTATTCTCGATTTTGAAGCAAGAGAAGCCCAAAGTGAATCACGATTTGCACGAAGCGTTGATGCCAAAATATCTCCATATATCTACCCTAAATTTTTGCAATTTTTAACACTGCTTTTAGAGTTGTATTTGTCACAAGATCAAATACATCGTGCTCTTGAACGAACGTCACACACCACGTGTTCATTTCGAGAGCCGGATGAATAATAGTGAGAGCTCGAAGCGGACTCGCGAGAGATTTCTCTTTGTCTATGTTTGCTCGAGCTGATCCCCGCCGTCCGTCAAAAGCTTTAGCTTTTCCCTTATTGATCCCCGTTGATGGGAATTTCGATCCGTACATGATCGGTTTGCAATAATTCATCTTGTCATAAGCTAAGTTATGCGATTTCGGCGTCGAGTCGTCGCTGTTATGGAGCGAATAAGGGGGAAGGGGAGGGTAAGAAGAGAGAGAAAGTATTTTTGTGAACCTTTAGGCCTTTTTGGGTATATTTCTGCTACCCAGTGTCTCCTCCCCTCCTCTTCTTTTCTCCCACTAGAGTTCAAACTATTTATATTCCTATCTCTCACTCGAGCTAAGGTCAATGAAGTGGATTTGTCCTGAGAGCTTAGCCGGTTTTCTGGCTTTGTCCGTTTCTCTTCAAGTTTTCCTCCTCGACATGTGTCAAGTCCCTTGCTTTTAGAAAAATATCTTATTTTTACTTTTTACTTCTCCACAAAGCTTCAGTCCATATCTGATCTGTGTCTCTTGCTTACATTTCTGCAACCCAATTAAACTAATTTTCCAGGTTCGAATCCACTTCGAAGTCCATGATACGGCAAAGACAACGGTACTATGGAAGGTAAGGCTTTTTGAGTCCTAGAAAATGTTCTTGGTATACGAAACAGGCCAAGATACATACGATCGGTGGTATAACCTCTGAAGGAGTGCTTTAGAAGGTCATGAAGGTCACGTACTTTTCGAGAACTATGAACGAAGAGAAAAAGGAATTTGGTTCTGTTACACCATCTTCGTCTAAGAAGGGGTTCATGTTTGGATTTCTTTGTGCTTTTCATCCTTTGAAAACATTCTTTTCTAGGTTAGCAATTTATTTCCAACCTCAATACGTATCAGACTCCATACTCCGTCTAATGTTCTCTATTGCTTTGATTCCGCGCAAAATATGACTTTGCCTATTCATTATTCATTATTTGCTATGCTGGATGACGTCAAGCTCATAGTCGATCGGTACAATTGCACACTTAGGTTTTGTTTACACGAATGCTGTGCTTCCATAGCATACACCAATCTTCTTTCAAAAAACATTGAACTAGACATTTGTAAGTTCCAGTGTTAAGATTCACAACTCTGAATAGAGTTATCTAAGTATATCAAAATTTGCGTTTTATTACATGATAGGGCTCAAGTGGTATATTTAGGCTAAAGACTTTACGCTTTTCAGCTAGAAGAGAACAAAATGAATTGAAATTTTTTATCAGATTAGCAGCACTCAAAATATACTGCTGATTTCAGTGGCGGTATTGGCAAGAACTCTGGGAGTCGTTGTAAGATAACTAAGAGTTGAGGTCGGAGAGCCGTCTACCTTGCTGAGGGCAACTGCGCCTAGTTTGATTTTGCCTTCATTTTTGTGTCTTTGAAAGCAAGTAAAGTAAATCTTGCGCTAATCGCTTTTTTATGCTATTGATTGATATATGAACTTCAAAAATGAATTATTTGTCAGGTAGAAATAGATTCCTGTAGATTCGACTTTTGACGCAGTTCTGCGGTAACGACAACATTTGCGCAAAAGCAGCTGAGAACTTGTGGATGGCGACAATTTGCTTGCGATTTGCGCGCGAAAAATCGCCGTAGAGCGCACATTGCTATGTACGCGCAGATGTTGTCGTCAAAGAAAGCTGCACCAACTGTTGAAATCACTTTTTTGTGAATGTTTTGAGACTTGAAATTAGCTTTGTAATAAAGATTACGTGATTCTGGGAAGCATATCCTGCCCATAATTGGACAGAATTCTTTTGGACCATCACCGCAATTTTCTGGGCTGATTTTTCTTATACCGTGCAAATTACTCACAATGACTGCGTTTGAAGACATTTTTCTTTAGGAAATGAGTGTAAGGGAATTTCCTCCCTGTCATTTTGTTCCATATGAGGAGCATGGCAAAAGCTTATTTTCACAAATAGCTGTCTCCTTCCAGTTAGCTTACAGCTGGTTCTTCTCTATGTCTTGTTTTTTCTATGAAAGAAAAACCACAACTTGAAAGATTTTTTCTGCAAACTGGATGGGAACTTTTTCTGCAAAGCCCTCCACAAAATACGATAGCCTTATTTTTGGATGTTTGCCATTTTTAGCTACAAGGCTGAATGCTGTTCTCCAGGAGAATAATTATATTTCGAAAGTAGAAGTCTTAGTAAGCAATTCCTCCGCTTTTAACCAATCAAAAAATTTATAGTGCTTTTGATATCCACACGAAGATGCTTTGACAGTGACATTTTGCTCGTAAATTCCTTTATGGAAGTAGAAAAGGATTTCACTTTTATCATCCATGAAATGCCTTTGAGGATATTCTAAGCAGCTTTTATATTTGTTCCAGTTTTAGCTATGAAAAACTCGTTGCTTGCGAGTTTCTTGTACTGATTGTCGTATGATTGCTGATCATAGCAAAGCCAAAGGCATAAAGTTTCTTGATTGCTAGTCTTTTCTGCATTGCTGAACGGTTTTTCTTTTTTATGACCTATGAATTCTAGAAATTGTGAGCAATTTTTGCACATCTTGCATTCTTGCACTTAGGACCCTTACAGCCGCAGTTAGGGACCCTTATGTTGTTTTCAGCTCAAGATGGATGGGATGAAGTTCATCAAGACTGGCACTTTCTTGAATGTTTTTTGCACTACCACCATCGAGAACGAGTCGCCAGTTTCCACCTGCTGAGAAAGCCGAAAACCTCTCGAACGTCCCGTTTTCGAGCGGATAAAAGTGACAAATCTTTTTCTGCGTTACATGCTTTGATTTCTTAGCTGGCTTTGTGAGAAAAAAATTGCTTTGGACTCAGTTGAGCTGTTACGAAGATTATGCTCGGACAGATCAAGCCCAAATTCCGGCTGATAACGTGGAAAGTGTAAAAATGTTTAAATGTACTATTCTCTTCAGTTTTCCATTAAAGGTCAATAAGCTTCACATGGAATATGGGTGGGACTGGCATTGGTGGGCGGTTTTAAAAGATTCCATAAATTTTCTACTCATGATAAGATTACATATGTACGTCTAGTTGATCAAAATCTTGACCCCATACCTCTGCCCGACCCACTACTACCTATATAATTCTTCTTATTTGCTGATATTTGTATGCGATAACTTTGACTGATAAAAAAATATCAGTTATAGGAGGTTATGTGTGAGAAAAAAAGATTGTCATTGCTGGAAACACAGAACTACTGCTGTACTTTTGTAATTTTATGATTTTAGAATATTTGTAGCGACGACCCCCATGGCATTAATTTATCATTTGATCAGTGTGCTAAATACTAGATCATCTAGATCATACTGCTAAATATTAGATCATCTCAAAAGTTCGTTCGCACTATTTTTTTAAATCGTAACTCACTGCTATTCTGCCTGAATTTGCGTGGGACAACTTTTTTAAAGATTTTTTAGATGCCATGTAGTTTTTGACTATAGTTTGCATTGCCTCCTATTAAGCACACGCAGAAAAAAAAGCAAAAATAAGATCACTCAAATTTTGGTAATTTTAGGATAGCTCACTAAAAATGCACAGACTTTAGACAAAGTACCGAAACAAACCAAACATATGCTCTATGCTCATCTTTCCAACTAGCAAAAGCCTTGCTGAGCGAATGTTCCTATGAAAAGCTATGATATCTTTACAAAAATGGTCTGCTTTTGTCACGAAAATCAACCTGCTCTCAATCGGCTCGAACTCTAGAGGTCATAAGACGTATGTTTGACGTTTTCAGATTTTTCTGGGCATGCTCAAAGATCAAAATCAAAGTGAATCTCTTCATTTGCTTCTAGCTTTCGGACTACCTCATAGGTACTAATTCATGAAAAAGTTGCCACTGTTACTTGCAAAAATTTCTCTTTCAAATGAAAATAGTTTCAGATTTTTTCGTGACCCCGCTTGAAATATGCCAATCCTGAGCCAAATTAGCCAAATTCCTTCAATTTCCTTCAATTGCTTCTAACTCTGGAATATCATCATACTAGTTCCATGCAGAAGTACTGCTGTAAAAAGCATGGTTTCTTTTTTCAAAAAAATGTAATTTTAAGAAAATCCATTGAGAGAGAGGTAGTTATGATTTTTCAAAAACTGACGAACGAACTTTTGAAAAGACCTTATACTTTACTGCAACAACGTATAGATTCGAAGAAGTTTTCTGAGAAGTTTTCTCTTCACCTTACCACACAAAATAAGCGATCCTCCTCCTGGTCCAATCTACACATCTTTCATCACCGTTCTCTATCTATCATCGTGTACGCTGATGACCTTGGTAGACGATATCGGCTCGCTTTTGTCTCTTGGTGTCATCGCGCGAAAAATCGCCTAGCCTCTAATTACATCGATCAGATAGCTAGTTCTTAGCACTTTAGGTTTCTCTTTGAAATAGCGACTAATAAAAAGAAAATTTAAAATTTTTCGGTAACGCATGAGGGCCAAATTTTTATCATTGCATAGACCATTCAAAAGAAATTGGATGCTCTTATGCGTTATGGGCTTTTCGGAAAATGATTCAAAGTTAGGATAAGATCTCCTTCTGGGAGAGCCCTACGTTCTCCTTTCTCTCTAAGGCTTGCAGTACGAATTTTAAAATAAATAATAATACGAAGAAATATTAAATAATGTTTTATACGTTTCAGCTTTCATTCCATTGAACTCTGTCCTTCTTCTCTTTTTATTTATCGACTATAGGACATGCAAACATCTTACATTGCCCAAATTTTGGTTCAAGTGTTTGATCAGGCCAATCGGCTTCGTTTTTGTTTCTGGCTAAGAAAAAACTCGAATTTGACCCCGTTCAAGAATTCGTAAAAATTTGCTCAGTTCTTTATTTTAAAAAGTTATATAATGTACATCATAAAAAAATGAGAGCGCCACACTTAAAAGCAGAATAGTTATAAAATTTGTTGCAAAACTTAACTGTCGTTCCAACAGATTGATTTAAAGAGTTATTTGAACTTGCGAATGCTTCTCTTTGCGTAATTTATTCGTTTACTCGCTTACTAATCGAAAAATCGTATCAAATGTAATCTTTGATTCAGCTGGCTTGGCGGCTGGAAGGCGGGCTTTTGACCTAATTATGACCGCTCGCGCCCGCGACGCAGTTGCATCCCTCCCGCGCGCGTGCTCTTTGGTCAGTACCTACCCTTAATTAGGTCAGGAAGCCCCCGCTTCCAGCAGCTAAGCCAATTGGTAATTCATGAATGCACAGTTCCATGATTAGATTGCTGATTGGTTCATTGATTTTTTAGCAATTATGAATTCTTAGCATTTATAGTTATGCTCGGAGACCTTTTGAAACTTCAGATGAAAGGCTCACATTTAGAACTCTCTCACAACCACTTTCGAGATATAATTTCTCTGAACTGGATATCAGATGGGATGAGAAAACTGGGAACTTCAACATTCCAAAAAACTTAACTGGAAGCGGTTTGAACTACTCCATAACATTTTACTTCCTTGCTGAACATCATTTCGTGTTCTTCTCTACATAGAGAGAATATCATTTAGATACTGCTATTTGCGGCTGTCTACAAACATAACTATGAGAAAAGATTTTCTTCTTCTATTCATTCCTAGAATTGTTTGTTTTGTTTTACTTAATTTTT